AGAGATTTACAAGGCAATGGGGAAAGAGCAGTAAAAGAAAGTACTGCAGATGCTGGAGATCTGAAACAAAAACAGAAAGTGCTGGAGAATCTCAGCAGGTCTGGCAGCATCTGTGAAGAGAAAACCAGAGTTAACCTTTCGAGTTCAGTGACCCTTCAAGAGATAGCATAGGCATTATGGGCTGAATGCCCTTTTCTGATGTATCATTCTGTATTTCAATAGGTATAAATACCAGACAATGGAAAACAGCTTCACAAAATAATGTACTGCCAGTTCTTCTTGAAACGTAGTTAACATTGAAAATCAACATACAGTAAATGATTTGTGCATTTTGTAATCATAGGCACCAAATGACTAAAGATGATGGAGCCCAGCTTATTTCAAGTAAACAAGATGTTGAAATCCAGCTCCATTCCCTGAAGAAACAGGCAAGTCAGCATTTCAATTCCGAATTTGATCGGTGACGTTCACTACCAGGAAGTTCATTTCAAAGGATTTTATTAGAAAATATGGAGTAGAACATTCAGAGATATTTATCAATGGTGAAATGAATTGTCCAACTAATTCAACATAGAAATACAGTTCACAATCTAAAAAGGACCCTCAAGTGAAACATTTATTTCATTGTAAGAGTTATTTGCAAAATGAGTTTGGATTTTCTTCACCCTGGACCAATATTAAAGTCTAATTGGGAAAGCACGATGGAGTCGTGTTAGAGGATGCAATAACTTGCTATGAATGCATTTTTAATTTTAGACAGATATGCAACAAAAGCATGCCATAACTGGGGTGTCCAATTCTGACATTGAGCACAAGCAATTTCCAAGGTTGCAATTTCTCAGATTGTTAAGAATAAATCTCAGCAAATCTTGAAATAAATTAAAACTCACTTAGCAACTTTGTTTTCATCATCCAAAACAACCACAGACATCCATTAGCAAACCAAATCCCTAAGAACATCAAACAGGAATGAAGTCTGTTTGCCAACAGGATTTCACACTTATTCTCTGAATAAATACCCCTGTAGCTATTGTCTAACTACTTGCCCATTTACCCACATTCATGAAACTTAATCACAATTTTACAAAATTCAAGTCTTAGAAACTTCAAAGTCTATAATATATCTGCAGTCTAACCAAAAGAAACTTTACGTTCTATGAATACAGAACCTGATGATCTTGCAATTGCTTGTCCATTAGAGAATTGGCTTACATTTCTATCAGAAAAGAGAGGCTCCTAACTCCATGCAGTAGACTTATTCTAAGTTCAACTAATGAGGCTAGCTTCACTAAAGTCATTTACCCAGCCGTGGAATACTACAGAATTTCATGTTTTTGTCAATGGATAGCTTATTATTATTTATTGGTATAGCATGTTATAAATTGAGCCCCACTATTTTCAAAGTCAGACCAAATTGTAATTTTTTAAAAGATATGCCCCAATTTACCTGACTTTTGGACTAAGGTTAATAGAGAACAGGTTTGGGTACTAACTAAAAATTATTCTTTATTACAAGGGGTTAGACTATAGCTACAGGTGACAAGATACAAATTATTGACATACACCAAATCAAACAAATCTCTCATCCCTTTATAACTCCCCATCACACACAAACAAACAGAGCCCTTGGTGTTCACTTGCCTTCTCTAGATGCTTCCACTGGTTTGTAAGAAGTACATGTGGCTTATTTGCTTGCAAAATGACTCTGATTTATCAGTTTAAAAGTCAAAACTCACAGCGAGTGCCACAGGAAGAGTAACTGGTTTGTAAACAGAGGCTGGTATCCCATCACTAAGTTACCCTTTATACACGGAAAGTCATTGAAATTGATCCAGCTCCCTCCGAACCAGCTCACAGAGTGAACAGAATATCTGACACTGCTGTTCTTATCAGTCAGTCAGAGCTCCTTGATTGGACCAGATTAACAGCCCCAACCATGGGACTCATATTCTATGAGGGCCACCTGGTAGTCCTCATTACAATCAACAAAGTTTGCCTCAGGTTTAAATGGAGTTTTTGACTGCAAAGAACAGGAAACTCATGGGCTGCCCTTCCACTCTCTCTCTCTCTCTCATCCATCTCTGACTCTCTCTTCCCACCCCCCTGCTCTGTGTCTTTGTAACTTGTTTCCAGCTCCAAGCTGCTCAGCCACCTGTGATCCATCCATACAGATGTCAGCAAGTAAAGGGTCTCTGTCTTTGAAAACTGCCATCAGCCCACGGTCCAATCAACTTTTTTTTGCCAACAAGAACTGCATCTGTACATACACTTGGCTCCAGATTGTCTGCAATCTGAACTTCAATTCTTTGGTATTGAAAAAGTTATTTACAATTTACAATTAGTTCCTTGCTTTCAAAGCTGCAGCAATTCTTTCAAACACCGTTTTTTGAAACAATGTTTATTTCAGACCATAGTTTTTAAAAGAAAAATTAAAATGCACGGTCCTTACAAACTTAGTCTACTATGGAGGATTGACTTAGTTACAACATTTCTTTATTACACATGCAATCTTGAAGTCTTCTCAACACCACGCATTGGATTTGCTGTTCATCAACAATTTAAACAAATTGTTTATGTTTTAATAAAGAAAAGTAACCACAAAAAGGCTGGCAGTCGCACTAAAGTTCTTCAATACATTGATACAGCCAAAACTCTGCCATTTCCTCACATTTTTTCAAAAACCACCTTGGATCTCAGACATGGTCTGAAGGAATGTATTCTGCTACATGCTAATCCTATTTAGCTTTCCAGACTTGATTGCAATTTGACAAATGAGGGTGGGTGTATTAAAATGCCTATTAAAATTCCAGACTAATGACAATCGTAGGTCGTGGTTATAGCAATTAGGCTTGAAACAAAATGAAGTGCTGTGATGGATGGACGAAATTAGGTAAATCTGTTAGCATATTTAGGAAACTACAATAAAATAAGATAACACATAGGAGCAGAAGTAGATTTGGCCCATCGAGTCTGCTCCACCATTCAATGAGATCATGGCTGATCTGATAATCCTCAATTTCACTTTTCTGCCTTCTTCCAATAACCCTTGATTCTGTTACTGATTAAAAAGTTGTCTAGCTCATGAATGAATGTACTTAATGACACATCCTTAACAGTCCTCTATGATAAATAATTCCACAGATTCACTGTCCTCTAAGAGAAGAAATTCCTCTCACCTCTGTCTTAAATGGTCAACCCCTTGTTCTGAGATTATGCCGTTTCGTTCTAGACTCACCCACCAGGGAAAACAACATCGCCACATCTACTCTGTCAAGCTCCCAAAGATTCTTATTTGTTTCAATAAGGTTGCCTCTCATTCTTCTAAACTCCAGTGTGTGCAGGCCCAAACTACTCAACCTCTCCTCAAAAGAAAATCCCTCCATACCCTGGATCAACCAAGTGAACCTTCTCTGGACTGCCTCCAATGCCAAAGTATCTTGTTTTAAGTAAGGAGACCAAAACTGTCCATTCCAGCAGTGTTTTGAATAGTGTTTTGTACAGTTTTAGCAAGACCTCCTTATTTTTATACCCCATTCCCTTCGAAATAAAGGATAGCACTTTGTTTGCCTTCCCTATTGCCTGCTGATCTTGGATGCTAATTTTTTTGTGATTCATATGCAAGGATTAGGCTGAGGTTATCTTCCCTGGAGCATCAGAGACTGATGGGTGACCTTATAGAAGTTTATAAAATCACGAGGGGCATGGATAAGATAAATAGTCAAGGTCTTTTCCCCAGGGTAGGGAAGTCCAAAACTAGAGGGCACAGGTCTAAGGTGATGGGGAAAAATTTAAAACGGACCTAAGGGGCAACCTTTTACATGCAGAGGATGGTGTGTAAATGAAATGAGCTGCCAGAGGAAGTGGTGGAGGCTAGTACAATGACAACATTTCAACGGCATCAGGATGAGTACATGAATAGAAAAGGTCAAATTCTGGCAAACCAGATTAAACTAGGATATTAGTCAGCGTGGACAAGTTGGACTGAAGGGTCTGTTTCTGCGCTGTACATCTCTATGACTTTATGACGCTATGTTTCCCAATTCCCATTGTGCTGCAGATGTGCGCAGTTTTTCTCCATTGATGTAATATTCAACTCCTCTGTTCATCCTACCAAAGTGCATGACCTCACACTGTTCAATATTATGTTCCATCTGCCAAACTTTTACTGAACTGTCAATATCCCTCTGTAGTCTATTTGTGTCATCTTCACCACTTGCCCACCTGCCTAGTTTTATGTTACCTGCAAACTTAGTGATAATACATTCACTTTCATCATCCAATCATTAGTATATATTGTAAACAATGCCTTCTGTGTGAAACCTGACTCAAATCCTGTTTGAATGCCAGCAGGTGGAGTTCCAACCCTAATAATTTTACAGACCTTTCTGTGATTATGAAAATGTATATTCATTAGTGCTTTTTCTTGAGCTCCAAGAAATTGGAAAAAAATGTTTGTCACTAAGTAGACTTTAATACTTTGTGATTGTGATGCAGGAACATCGTGAAAAGAAGATTCATTCAGAAATAACAGATAAAATCACAGAAAACACAGAAGCCACTCTTGTTCTTGTCGGTGAGTGTGGTGTTGGCCCTCAGTGTTTTCGTACTGTTGCAACAGAAGTAATTGTTTGAATTAAATCACAAAACTTTCATGCAGACTGCAGTCTCCTATCCTTATGGGAGTGAGAAAGCTAGAAGTAGGTGGGACTACAAAAGTTGAGTGAGTGCATACTGATCAAGATTAGAAACATTTCAATAAACTTGTAAAGTAGCAACACCACATGAGAATAATCTGATTGGGCAGTGTGCAAGTCTCATGTTGTGCCATGGAATGAAACTGGGATTACATTGCCATGCATTTTTTTGTCCAATTTCTACCAAATATGATTTAGGCCATAACGATTCTTGATGCTATTTTCTCCTATTTTGAGACACCCCTTGGGTCTACCTCTGCCAACCATTTCTATAACTGTAGTTCATAATATAGGCCGACACACAAGTGAAATAGTGAATAAGTGCTGCAATGTGAGAGAAGCTACTCTTTAGACTAAAACTTGAGCCAAGGTTCAATCTGTTTGTGCAGTTCAAATGAAACCACAGATTTCTGTAAGAGTCTTGGTCAATATTTAAACCGTGCCAAAGCCACCAAAACGAACTAACTTGTCATTTATTTTATTGTTATTTGTGGTGTGTTGATGGTGCAAACTAATCGCTGCATTTGATATAAAATGAAAGTGTTTTAAAATGCAAATGTTGTTGAAATATTTGCAACAAAATGATATACCATTGAAGTTTCGTTTTGTTAAGTTCTGATTGCCCTGCAGTACAGATGAACGATGAGGTGCCCACTGTTGAAGCTTGATTCTAGACTGTCACCAAGATTTAGCTTAAATATGAATTTAAGTGTATATGAATGAGGTATCAAAAATAGCCTTAATGCAATCTTAATGTTTTCCCTTTCACAGGCTGCATTGACTCTCTGAAGTCTCCAGCTATGGCCTTTGTGCGACTGAAAACAGCTGTTCATCTGGAGTCAATTCTAGAAATTTCTATCCCTATCCGATTTATTTATGTGCTCCTGGGACCCAGCACTTCCAGGATGAACTACCATGAAGTTGGACGTTCAATTGCAACATTAATGTCAGATCAGGTATGATTACTTTCCAAATCTTTGAGACTTTCAACACATACAATTTACACCTTATTATTCTGAGCTCCATGGAAACAGATCAAATATTTCTTACCAAGACTGGAGCCCAATGATGGGCCATTGTCTAGTTTCTGTTTAAGAGAGTGAGTCTGTTCCAATATTACGATGCAGTGGTAGCATCTTTACATCTGGTTCGGAGGCCGTGTGTCCAATAATCACAGCAGAACTTGTTGGTCTTGGGAGGAGTATTCATGACCAGGTTCAACAGGCTGATGATTATCCTGGAAACCTTTCCGTACAACTTACACACCAGTCCCCAAAGGGAGAAAACATCCTTGAAAACACATAAAAACAAAAGGGAATTTGCTGCACAAATAAGTTTTTAATAATGAAATATTATGTTTAGCTGGATGAAAGAAGGTCAGAAGTCACACGACACCAGGTTATAGTCCAACAGGTTTACTTGAAATCATAAGCTTTCACAGCACTGCTCCTTTGTCAGGTAATGTCTCCATGTGACTTCTGACCTTGTTCACCCGATTCCAACACCATCACCTCCATATCATGGTTGAAAGAAGACATTGCAAAAATGAACATCACTTCTTAACTTAGGTCAACTTAGGCAGACTGAAAAATGATTCTATTCATTGGAAGTTTTAACTGCCTTATAGGCTTAGGTATTAAATAGTTTTGCATGTACTGTAACATTACAGGACCTGAACAGTCAGGATGCCATCTCATCTTTGGATGCTAAAGTAGATGTAAATAAGGTAACAAGGCTAGCAGATTATTATGAAAAAGTCTAGTATAGTTATATCACAGTATCCTGGAATAACTTCAGCTATTAGGCTTGTATTGTATGTCAATGGAATTTTCAGTCTTTAAAATAATCATTTAGAAGTCTCTGTACCTACATATCTATAACTAAACCTTGAACATAGCCCCGATGTTTAGCGATTCAAGACAGACTGGGATTCAACCGTTGACAACGATTAACAGATGTTTTGTTGGCTGATAGAAAACTCCTCCCTGTTAGCAGAAATAATCTAACCAACGTCACTCAGATGCAACTTTGAGTATGATGTAGTCAAACTGCATACTGTGTAACATTAGTTTTATGCATAATTGTTTCAGTTGCAAGTCAAACCTAATCAGCATTTCTTTGGGTCATGTATTGACAGTTAGCTGTTCCCTATGATAGCAGTTCTGAGGGGTTACTGCTCATGTTACACTTGTTCTACTCATCTTACTGATGTCCCACACTGTCTGTGGAAGTTCTGCTCCAGCTTTTGGAGGGAGCAGATGCAGCTGTACCAGCTCCCTAAGGTCTTATTAATTATGCCTGACTGACTATAGTTGTACTTATTGCTATCATGCAATAAACCTTCTTGTTATCTGAGAACACTGCCTTTTCTATACATACTAAATAGTGTGTGTCTTTTCCCACCAATCACTGGACAGGCCCAAGATAAAGGACGGATTGGTACTTACTCAGTATCACATACTGATAGAAAGTGGTGAATGCCTCAACGTGCCAGCAGGGATCAAGTGGAAAATTAGAAAAACAGCGAGAGGGAGAGGGGGAAAGGCTTTCCTGTAACTATTGATGGCCAATGGCATTGCAACCTTCATGTCAATCCCTGCAAGCAATTGTCAAACATGATTGAAAGAAAAATCATTGAATACTGAAGATGCACAACAATATAATAGTGTCCCAATTAAATTATCTGCAGCTTCTCGAAGGAGACAAATAGTGAAAATTCTTCATTTTTTTGCTTACAGCTCATTGTAAACCATTTTGTTATACAGTCCAGGTCATACTATGCTTTTAGAACTGCAGTTCAAAAGCCATATAGGATCTATCAGCTGTTCACTTAAAAGAGTGCAAAGACATAGTTTTGTAATGGATAGTGGAAATCATTGCGTTGAGATTTAAGGACATTTTAGATTAACTCTCATGTTCCTCCAGACATTCCACAAAGTGGCGTATGAAGCAAAGGATTGCAATGATTTGCTGAATGGTATCAGTGAGTTCCTGGACTGCAGTATTGTCATTCCCCCAACAGAAGTTCAAGATGAGGAGCTACTAAGATCTGTCATACCCTTTCAGCATGAAATGCTAAAGAAGAGGCAGAGCCAGCTAGAAGACACATTGGCTGAAGGAGATGATCATTCTGGTAAGACAAAGTATCTTTATATTTGTACACCAAGCTAATGAGAATTGTATTGTAAAAGGAGCTTTAGTCTCTGCAATGAAATATATCCTGCATATTGTACAAATTTAAGGAACAGAATCCTAATTAAGTTCCCCATCCCCACATCTACAGGTCCTGAAAATACCATAGAAATCATAGAATCTTATAACACAAAGGAAGACATTTAGCCCATTGTGACTTTACCAATCCTTTGAAAAAGTTATCCAATTGGTCCCAATCCCTTGCTCTTTTCCTTCAACCTTATTTTCATTCCTCTTTTCAGATTTGTTCTTAATCTCCATTTGGGTGATACTGTTAAATTTGCTTCACCACCCTTTCAGGCAGCGCATTCCAACCAGAAAAACAAACTGCACAGAAAGATAATCCTCCTCATCTCCCCTTTGGTACATTAGCCAACTGCCATAAATTCGTGGCTTCTGGATTGTGACACTTTTGATAGTAAAAGTAATTTCCTCTTCTTTACTCTAACAAATGATTATTTTCATCTGTATTGTATCTTGCCTTAATCTTCTCTCTTGCAAGAACAGTCCTTATGCCCCATAATATGGGACACTATCATGCAGTATCTGCATTTTCCAAGATCACTGAATCAAAACCTATCTCATGTAGTATCCTCATATAAGCTAAAAATGATTGAATGTAAGATGTCTTGCTATTAAGAATTCCTCCTGAAAGGAAAACCTTTGCTCAAATTCTGGGCATCAATATTATCGTCCTCTTGAATTCTGTAGATTAGGTTTAATGTTGCTAAACAGTGAGAGAGTCAGATTATCAACAAAGTGATTGGTTGGAAAGAATTATGGTTCCTGAAAGAATAGATTAAGATCAGACTGGGGTGGCACGGTGACTCAATGGTTAGTACTGCAGCCCCACAGTGCCAGGAGCCCAAGTTCGATTCCACCTTTGGATATCTGTCTGTGGGGAGTTTGCACATTCTCCTCATGTCTGCATGGGTTTCATTTGGGTGCTCCAATTTCCTCCCACAGTACAACAATGTGTAGGTTAGGTGGATTTACCATGGGAAATGCAAAGTTACATGGAGAGGGTGGACAGGTGGGTCTGGGTAGGATTCTCTTTGGAAATTTGGTGCGGACTCAATGAGCCGAATGGCCTGCTTCCACACTTTAGGAATTCTATGAGATGGTGGATTTTACTGTGACCAGGTGCAAAATGTATTCTGTAGACAGCAGTTACATTTTGGATATACATATATTTTGCATTGGCAGCCATGAGTGAAATACCCCACACAAGTAAATGAGAAATGAACCAGTGATTGAGAGACATGGTAACCTCGGTGGAACAGGTTACATTAGCATGCACAAAGTATTGCAGTTGTTTGGGTCAGGATGGATTTTCAGTGCATCTTTTACTGTTTGCTGTTGTTTGTATGCTCTGCTTAATCACATGGTGTTTCAGAACAAATTCCAGTTTTATGTTTGGCTGAGATTGTGGCCAATATTTACTCACCCTAAACAGCGCTATGCTAGAATGTAGCTTTACCGCTCTGGTTCCATAGACTCACTTTTTGGCACTTTGACTGAGGCGTTTAATCTCTACATTACTGTTTCCAGACAGTATAGGAATTTGTGCAGAAGACAAAATCAGCACAGGAAATCAAAGCAATTTTGTGCATGAGAAGAGAAGTTTCTTGAAATGATTTGCTAGCAACTGGAGACCACAGTTTAATGCTTTCATATGAGTGGTGTGGATGATTGGTATGGATAGATAGTAGATAGGGAAGATAGTATAAGTGAGTTTGGTCAGCAGTCACTGTGGATATCAGACAACCTGGATAATAGGCAGTGCAGATACCACACAACATGAACATCAAGTGCCATGGATATTGAGGAGCATGTCTAGTGAATTATGTAAATTAAAATGGATGATAAAGATTGTAGAAAAATATGAGATCGGATGGATTGAGCTCAAGCTGTGACATACAAAAAGCTGTCAGTACAAGGAAATGCAGATAACAGGGTGGAGCAATTAGCATTAGTGCCAGAAAGTGCAAACAGAGCAGCAATCAGTCTTGGGGAAATGTGTGAAACAAGTAGTGTGAAACATTATTGATTGGTGAATCAAAATGGAGCATGTGGTAGACAACATCAGATGGCGTAGACAGAATTCAAGATCATATTAAATTTATTTCAGGATAATATGGACAGTTACTGAAGAAAAATTTACCCAAAGGCCTCGTGAAAATGGCTAATGGGAAGCAGGTTGATTTTGGAATTAGGTCATCCTCTTCTAACGCGAATGTATCTATCATTGCAGCTGCAAGACCAGTACCAAGTGATGATGATGATGATCCTCTCAGAAGAACTAGGAAACCATTTGGAGGTCTAATCCGGGACATCAAGCGACGCTATCCCAAATATCTGAGTGACATCAGGGATGCCCTGAATGCTCAGTGTCTGGCTGCAATTATTTTCATTTATTTTGCAGCTTTGTCTCCTGCCATTACCTTTGGTGGTCTCCTTGGTATGAAATCATTAAGATAATTACTCTTTGCCCCTTCAGGAATTCAGCAAATAAATACCAAACCATAGAAGAAATGTATGTTTGATTGAAAGTATCCTATCTAAAGAATCTGGTGGTGTTGTCTTCAACTGAGAACTTTTTCAATGATGATGGATTGAGTAACATTGCACATCAACCACTCCAGACCGGTCAGAATGATGATGAATGCAGTCTAGGTTTAAACAGAGAAGAAGAACCTAACATAGCAGAGATTAGAGCTTCAAGTTGAGAAATAAGTACCCAGAATCGCTTGAGGCAGAGGAGTATAGCACTGCAGAATAGGATACCATTAAAATATTACTAAATATTAAAACTTCTGTCCCAGATTACCCTAAGGACAGTAACTCTGATGCCAAATGTGAATAGAACAATATTTCATTCTTCTAAGAAGCATGATTTCATCTTTTTGTTTTCCCCTCAACACATTTTACCTTTTTTATAATATTTAAATGTGTCAAGGACTTGAATCCTGTGTCTATGAAGCTCCTTCTCAAGCCCCTCTCAAATTCTTGATCCTGAAAATGATTGTATGATAAGCTAGAGATAGTAGGAACTGCAGATGCTAGGGAATCTGAGATAACAAGGTGTAGAGCTGGATGAACACAGCAGGCCAAGCAGGATCAGAGGAGCAGGAAGGC